AAGAGAAAAGCCAGGTTTGCAGTGTAAACAGCCTGGCCCCGGAGTCTGCTTCTGAGCCAGCGACACAGAGAGAAACAGCTGCGCTTGTCCTGGCTGGGCTCAGAGCCCTCCTCTGCTTGCTCAGACTGACCTGACACTAATTAAATATAGAAACAACAGAACTTGGCAAAGAAGTGTCTGCTAACCTTTTTTTTCCCTCCACGAGTCCAGCTGCCTAATTTATTAATAATAGCACAGTTTTCAGCTCTGGGGAAATTCACCGAGGATATGTTCAGAGGGCCCTGGTGCGATCTCTTCTCTCAGCATGTGGTAGTGCACCCCCCAGAACTGATCTTAGAGCATGGGAACTTCAGGTGACAGATGGAGTGGATCCCAGGGGATCCGAGGGGAAGATCTGCAGGGATCACTTAGGATCTACCCTAAGTTGGCCTCTGGATGGCCAAAGATTACTCTTACGGAAATGAATAGATAATAGTACTGAGTACTTACTACATCCAGACTCCCACTGAAGCCTTAAAAATCTAACTAATTTAACCTTTGCAGAGACTGCGAGGTATAAGCCCTTACATATTTTTTATCAGTACAGCTTGCGACGCACAATGACTGCAGGAGGAGCCTGTACTTATACATAGCATGTCTTAATTTCCTGTCCCCTTCTTTTCCTGTCCCTCCCTGTTCCCTCTAAGTCCCCATCCCATTTGCAAAACCTCCATTTCTACTTTTTTCTTCATTTCTCACTCACTTTTTCAAAATTCCTTTTCCTTTCTCTTCCCTTCCTCTTATTCTCCTGATAATTTGAAAAAGCCCCCCCCCACTTCCTGTTATCTATCTTTTATTTTGCTCTTTATTTATATTTTGGGTTTCTCATTTAAAAAAACCCACTATGGAATATTGAGACTTGGGTGTCTGATTTATTTCATTTAACATCATCTCAAGGTTCATCCAGGACAAACCTACTGCCAGCATCATATTAAATGGGGGAAACTTGACAGCTTTGCTCTAAAATCAGGAACAAGACAAGGATGTCCACTATCACCACTCCTGTTCAATGCAGTCCTTGAAACATTAGCCAGAGCAGTCAGACAAGAGAAAGAAATATAGGACATACCTACAGAAAAGGAAGGAGCTGGGGTATACATTATTATCTATTTTAAAGATGTGGGTGCTGGGTTCAGAAAGGTTGAGAAACTTGGCTGGGTGGCATGGTAGGTGGGTGTCAGAGGTGAGACCTGAGTCCAGCTTTGATGACTCCCACACCTGTGTTCTTGTCAGTCCTCCCCAACTTGTGCTCCCCAATGCGGGCTGTGAATGACGGCCACACAGCATGACTGAAGTCCTTTTGGTGCCAGAGGAGTTTTTATGATACATCTCCAAATTGCAGCTTGATTTTTAGTTTACACAGCTGCTGCATAAGATAAATAGTCCACCAAACCTCCAAAGAAATAATAATAAAGAAAGGGCTAAGATCTGGTTCTTTGAGTGTGAGGCATTTTTCAGATGTTGAAAATTATAGCGGATTAGATAGTCAAGCGACATGTAAATATGAAATCTTTAGTGTAATAGTAGCTGATTCTCTCTTTCCCCTGTTGCTGAGCCAGACACAACACCAGTGTCTACATGGAAAAAAACAGTGACAGGGCAACGCTGCTACACCCAGAACCGCTAGGGGATGGCCCAGGAAGAAGCGGAGGTGTGAGAAGGAAACAAGAAAGGCAAAGAGTTCAAAGTGGAGTGGTGAACACGTGGATGGTGCTTGTGCTCGGCTGGCTGCTTCCCCGTGTGTCTGAGAAGTTCACACACAGACCAAAAGGGCAAGGTCCTCCAGCCAGAGGAACCCTCCTCGTGGTGTTAATATCCTGGATTCCAGGTTTCCGGGATGCAGTAGCCTTGGAGGGAGCAGTCATGGCTGGAATCAGACTGGTTCCCCCTGCCCTGTCCTGGTCTAGCTCCACCCGGCCCTTCGACAAGTTTCATGCACCTCACAGCCAGAAGCGCCCTCCGGCTAATTCTGCTTTTGGAGAAGACAGCGGTTGAAATTTCTGTTTTTTGGACTCAGGAACTATTTAAAAACTGCTAGGCCCTCAGTGCAGAGCAAGATGAAGAACAGGCTCGGTCTGCAGACACAGGGGCCTGGTGAGCGAGCTGGTGTGTAGGTTACCTGTGAGGATGGGGTCACTACAGCAAGAGGAAACTGGGGCCGGCCAGAACCAGTCTGCAACTGCAGGGGACGGAAGCAGACATCTGAGGTGTGAGAACAGGAAGAACCTCAAAAAGACAGTTGGTGAATTCTGGCCAGATGGCACCTTGTTCCTTTATCACTTTACACGACCAAAGAAAGACTAGCCAAGCCCTTGTCAGCTGAAACATACCATGCCTCTTAGAAATCTGACAGAAGACAGAAAACTTTGTTTTGTGAAAAGCGGTTTTTTTTTTTTTTTTGAGGCAAGGTGTCACTATACAGCTCAGGTTGACCTGAAACTCACTTTGTAGCCCAAACTGGCCTTGAACTCATGGCCATCCTCAGTGCTGGGATTCCAGGCACGTGCCACCATGCCCAGTTGGATATATTGCATCTTGTAGGAAGAAGGTGTTAGAACCAGGTGAGCAAGGAACAGGCCTGGACACCACAGATCGTCTGCGTGGCTTAGTCCAGCTGGCTTAAGAATCTGGGCCGCGAGCATTCCCATGTCCCGTGATAGTAAGAGTCACCCTCAGCTCTGGGCAGCCATTTTAAAGGTATGTACCAAAGGTCGCTCCAAGAAGCAAAGTCATGTTTAAAGTATGGCCAAGACAGAAGCAAAGAGAATGTGATTCAGGCATGTAGATCCACTGTCACTATTTAGAACCAGCCCAGAGCATCATCCAATGGCTTCCAGTTCCATGAGAACACAAAACCCAAACACTCACTAGCCAAAGGCCTCAGGGCCTAACCCGACCCCTCAGCCCCTGCCCACCTCTCTCACCTCACTTCCCCATTCCCTAGGTTCCAGCCACATCCTTGAACCCACCAGTCCTGCCCCACCACAAGACCTCTGACCCTGCAGCTTCCTCTGCCTTCACACCACTCTCCAAAGCTTGGCCTCAGAGGTCAAAGGTCAGAGGTCACCTTCTCAGAGGCCTTTCTAGAGCAGCACCCCAGTAACTTTCTAGAATATCCTGTCTTTCCTTTGTGTCGCCTGTCATTATCTGATGTCAGTATTTTTGTCTTGCTTTTTAATTTTTTTTGTCAGTGTCTGCATCCCCTGTGTGGAGCTGGCACATGTACTTAACACACTTCTGTTCCTTTTCCACCCCTTTTCCCTTCTCTGCCTCCCTCCCTCCATCTCTTGATCCCTTTCTCATTAGAGAAAGGTCTATCTTCTTATTTCTATTATCATCCTTTTATTGTGATCTTTATTGACAATTTGGGTTGCTCATATGCGAAGAACCCATGCGACATTTATTTATGCGGATGCTGTTTAATGAACTTTCTCTCTCCCACAGAATGGAAACCACAAGGCAAGCTCTTGACTGGGTCTCCGCCATATGCACCAGACCCAGGACAAGGAGAACCTGCTATGAATGGACAGACTCCTTGTAGGTCAGTAAGCACCTTCACCTACACAAAAAGGCATTTTTATTGATGAGGCTTATTTTCCTAACATACACATTTATATAACCATGGATACATAGTACCTATATTTGATTAAGAGTTCTGTCTGTTCTGGAGAGTCTGTGACAGGCAGTCATCATGAATGTGAGATTCGATTTCTCCATTGCTTGCCATGTATTTCTGATGACTCAGAGCAAAACTGGTCAGCTGTCAGGTGACAGCTGATACCAGAATGGGTGCTCACAGCCAGGATGGGGTTCCTAAGGAAAGGCCGGGGTGTGCAGGAGGATTCCTTTGGGTAAGCAGGCACTGGACGTAGTGTTCCTTTTGCTACCTTTATGAGCACATGTCTGTGACCTCGGGTGCACCTCAGTCAAACAGGGATTTTTTTTTTTTTTGTCTTTGTTGTTAAGATGCAGTTTCTGATCCTGAGAGAACATGAGATTCTGGGTATTTACTACATCTTTCCCCAGGTGCTTTGATGCCACTGGCCAGAGGGTTGCCCTGTGAGAAATGAATCTTTTACACTGGGGAACGAGCATCTGGGAAATAAGTTTCCAGAGGAGCTCGGAGAGGAAACGATAAGCACAGGAGACTTGGTCCCCAAGAAAAAGCAACTTAGAGACCCTAACTGAGGAGAAGCACAAGGTACTTCTCTGGAGAGGGATGATTCATAGGCCTTAATTTATAAGAAACTAAATCTGTAAGAACTTAGAATCCCTTCCAGCACTGAGTAGTGTGAAGTCTAGGAAACTGTCTAACGCTGGTGAGGGAATCATAAAGCATGCATTCCTCTCCCGTCTGCTGTCTATGACTCTTGGGCTGTGTTTGCTGGCTGTGTACACCAAGAGGTCGCTTGTGGATGGTGTCCCCATCCATGGTCTTGCTCTAGCTTACTGCTGTGTTTTGTAGTCTTTCCCCTTTTAAAACCCGCCCCCACTTTACTAACAATGCCATGGCACGTCAGAGCCCCACAGAGCAGCCCTGAGCTGACTGGTACTACCTGAGTTTTGAGGGGTGCCATTTCTGTGACCTGAACTTGGCTGCTGAGCCCAGGAGAAATAGGGCTGGCTCATGCCTGTGCCTCTTCCCCAGCTGGGTTCGGCAGCTCAGGATGACTCTGTGCTATTGATACCCCTGAATGTTACTCTTTAGCACTGTCAACATGCGTGTGTTCTTGAAGACTTCCGGGCAGTGTGGCTGGAGGGTTGGCAGTCAGCCACTCTCTGCCAGCAGTGACTGGACATGGCCTGCCATCATCCACACCAACCTCCTGCCTGGTGATGGGACGCTCCACTCTGGCAGGTTCTAGCTTGTGAATTGAACATCAAATGAATGACAGATCCTGGGGTAAACCTGGGCACCCACATCAGTCATATACCAAGGTCTGGCTGGAAACACAACAAACCTGGCCTCTGTCCTCCAAGCTTCTGTGTTCCTTCAGAAGTTGCTCTACGTGTGTTAGGCTGTCTCCGATAGCTGTAAACTCCGCTTGCTCTTCCAGCAGATGATCCAGGGCGAGCTTCACCTATGAGACATGTGCAAAGGTGCTGAGATCAGCGACAGGCACCAGCTGCAGGGACAGGCTTGGTGTGTCCTAAAACTCGAAAACCCAGAGGGGATTGGGACTTGTGGGTGTCTCTACACACCCTTCCTTTCTTCCTCTATCTTTCCTCCTCTGTCTCTCTCTCTCTGTTTCCATCTCATTACCTTTCATGTTCAGTGTCTCTGGGTGATGCAGAGACACATGTGGGTACAATATTAGAACCGCACGGCACAGATTATCAGTTGCTAAAGGAGGTACTGAAATGTCATGGACATCAACAAGAAAATGGGGTCCTTCTGGAGCCCTTCAGTGGCTCCACCACTGAAAGCGGCAGGAAAGGGATTAGAAGGAAGCAAAGATATAAGCAGGGGGGTGAGTGAATGAGAAAAGAAAAACCCAGTGCCAAAGCTTCGGAGAAGAAAGAGAAAGTCAGAGGTCTGTATGAAAAAAGGGTGGGGGCGTCATAGTTAGAAAGAAAACCATACCTTGCAAAAATTGTGCTCGAAGCGCTGTAGTTGTAGACACTGATTGAGCTTCAGGTGATGCTCAAACCAAAACTGATTGAAGGCTTTTTCTGTTTCACCCAATTGGACTAATAACCTTTCAAGAAAGAATGGAAAGACAGCCTAATATTAGCACACATTTCTAATGTCTCACCTATGGATTCCATCAGGTTACCAACTGCAGCAATGTCCGAATCGTGAAAGATTATCACCTGCTGTTCAGGGGTCTCTGCGCCTCCTCTTTTCCAGTTAGGGTAGAGACCACCTCAGAGACTGGCTCCGTGCGTGAAAATGTGTCCCAGGTGGCCCAGCCTACGGGCCTTCCTTTTTTCCCTATTTGAGACCACGCACGCGTAGAGCTAGCACCAAGCCCAAGTTATTTGGAAATGAAACTGGACAAGTGCCATCACCTCTCTGAAATCACAGGGTGAACGCCTACCCTGAGAAGAAGGAATGAAATTCTTCTCCTGAAAAGATCTCTGACTAGAGGTCAGGCGGGCCTGGTCTTTTTTCTTGATGTCTCCATTGTTCTTTCTTAGACCACTGGGCCCAGGAGAGCTGTTCCAATCTGTTGTTGGTTAGTTCAGAGCACCGGGTCTCCATAGCCTCCCCTAAGACCAAACCCTGTTGGCCTCACCTCTCCATGGTAGCTACATTCTCAAGATCACTGGGGTTGAGTTTTCTGGAGAAACTTCTGCTTGCTGGTTCTCGGACACATGACAGCAGTGTGGCTCCCTGCTTTTCGAGCAATTTCAGCTCATCCTTAAAAAAGAAAAAGACTCTTGTTGAAGGAATTAACAAAAAACGAATTCTTTTTTATCTCAACTATTTTTTATATACACATACATACACATATACATATGTTGTTTCAGCTTCTCACACTAATGAGAATACGATGTTTGCACGTGTGTGTCTCATGCATTTCACTAAGGAGTGTGGTCTCCAGTTGCATCTATTTACCTATAAAAGTTTTTATTTTATCCTTCTTTATGGCTGAGCAGTACTCCATTGTATAAAAATATCACATCTTCTTCATCCATTACTCAGTCGATGGGCATTTAGATTGCTTCCAATATCTAACTATTACAAATTGTGCTGCCATAAACATGAGTGCACATATATCACTCATGGTATGATGTTTTTAATTCTTTTGGGAATATACCCAGAAGGGGAATATCTGGGTTGAATAGAACCTCTGAGTCCTTTGATATTGGGGACAATGAGGAAAATGGCAGATCAGTGGATTTTTCTTTTAGGAAACTAAATGCTGAAATCAAGATGCAGCTTTCAAAAAATAAGTTACCCTTGATCTAAGGATGGTACAAAATTCAAAACATACCAAAGGTTAGGTACCCAGCCTGTCTACTACATTCGCTCTCTGAAAGCAACATCTATTATTTTTTTGTGTGTGTATATGGTAATTGTAGTTATGAATGAAAAGTAAAATTGATTGATAAAATCAAAGTAAGTGACCAGAAACAAAAAAGGGACAGATACGCAATGTGAAGTGTAGAAATGGCCAGACACTAACAATGTATCTGCTGACCATGGCTCATCCATTAACACCTGCTCCTTCTAGCTGCTCCCGGGTCACGGCAGGCATTTCCAAGGAGACTCCACTGTGCTCTTTGACACAGGGACCCAGGTTTATTTGCTTCCAACAACTTGAGTCCTCTCCTGGCTCTAAGCCTGAACCGTAAGTAAGGTTCACAGGCCCAAAGGAGCACAGCCTGGCCTAGAATTTCACTCTTGGGAACTCTGGGTTGTGTTCCTGGGTTGCAGACACACTCGATGTCAGAGTAAGTCCACGGTGCAAGACTCAGGCCAAGCGGTCACTCTGTGCACCTGAGCCGCAGCTCATTCTCAGGGACAGGAGAATCGCGCTTCCCCACCTGGACCCCCTCCACCTGACAATCTGTCCCTCCTCTCCCATCTCACTCTGGTGTTTCCCTGGAAGGGTTTGTGCTGTCCATATCCAACCTCAACCTTGTGCCCAGGCCCAGTCGAGGACAGCCTTCATTTGTCTGAGGCCCCTGGATTCCCCCAGTCTCTGTCCTTTACGGGCAATGCCTCAAGCCAGCCACCTGGCTGCCTGGGATGGAACATGGCCCTGGTTTTCCACTCTCAAATGTCCACCTTCATTTCTTCTTATCTCATCCGTGCTCATTAAATATTTGTAGGGTAGGTCAGTTAATAATAGTCTGAAAGGAGTCAGGTTGCAGAGGAATAAAGACACATCAGCTGTGTGGGGGGAAGGACCCACGAGACAGCGTTCTTAGACTTTACACCCTCCCACCCACTAAAGGGGCCCTGGATTTTCCCACTGAGCTTCCAGCGTGATTGCGCACCATCTGTTCTTAAACTTACACACATGCACACACATCTGGTGATGCAGAGCTGGGAAGGAAGGTGGAGAGGCTAAAGGAGGAGGTAAGTAGCCAGGGTGGAAGGAGGTGTTAGAAGGGGAAGCTGGCCAGGAGGGTACACCCTGTGAGCTGCCGAAAACCAGGAAAACATGTGAGGCCGGGAAGGTGGATTAACACATGATGGCCCGCACTGTGTGTCTCCTGCATGCTATTAAAAAAAATAAATAAATAAAAGCAAGAACTGTGGCCTGAATCACAGCTTCCGGAGGGCTACAAAATCTGCTAAAAAAAAAAAAAAAAAATGGGAAAGGTGGAGGAACAATGGTTCCCTGCAAGGGCCAAGGTAAGTTGCCCAGCCCAAAAATGGAGTTTCAGTTTCCACGGAAAGAAATATCCATCATTGTTGAGTATTTAGTTATTTTTCTTTCCAGCACTCTGGCTGGATGGAAGAGGCACTCAGGGCTCTGGCTTCCTGGACTTGTGTATAAATTCACGCTCCCTTTCTGAGGTTTCCTCCCTTTGTGCAGGCCGGTGCCCAGCAGTGGCAGTGAGAAGCCGTAGCCAGGGGCAGTTCCTGCCGCCTTGGAGAGAGGCCAGCTGGGTGTGTGCGTGCACGTGTGTTCTCATTCATCAGGAACCCAGCCTCCAGGCTAGAGCAGGGGCTCACTTCATTCCAGCCCTCAGACGGGGCGCTGAAATCGCAGAGGAGGCAAGGCTTCAGATCTTCCAACTGAGCTCAGCGTGCCATCTGCCTGGGTGCACAGTTGCCCACACTGCGTTGAGGCTGGGGATGCTGCCGGGGGCAGGGCAGACAGACATCAAAGGCGCTCAGCCTGAGGGGGAGGAATTTAGGGTGCTCCAGCACCCTAACAGCCCTCTTTCAAGTTATTTCTTACAGGTTTTACAAATAGTTCTGCTGTGAATATTTTGAGTGATTTTTTTTTTTTTGGTTCTTTTTCTGTGTAAACAGAAGAAAAGGGATTCTTTTGGAGGTAGCATTGAACAAAATAGTGACAACCTCATAGAGAATTAGCAAAGGAGACTGTAAAAAAAAAAAAAAAAACTCACTTCAATTCAATGGCTCTCCTACTCTGATGGCTTATCCAGGTGACTGATTATATAGATCTAAGATAAGAGTTCTGAATGTCCCCAGCCAAAAGTAAACCAAGCAATCAGCCAAATCTCCCAGCTGTGCAGCAGCCTCTCCAGGCTGGGAGAAAACAGTAATTCATAGGCTGTGACTTTTATAGCTGTGTAAGTAGATTTAAAAGTTTACTATTGTAAGGAATGAACTTATATTGTATTGGTTTTTCACTTGGAAAAGGTGCTTTCCAAATGGAAAGGAAACTATTCAACTGCTGATAGAATTTTTGGTTAAAAGTTAGCAAAACACCAGTGAGTAAAATAGGTTATGGATAAATAACCAAAAACTACGAAGTTATTTATAACCATTTAAGGAACAGTTGTTTCCTTTTTTAATATAGGCCATATTTCTCTTCAGGGTATTTTTAGTTGAGAAAGAGGAAAAACATAACTCAAGTCTAATAACTTTGATATTCTTATTTTTTAAAACATATTCTTGCTTTTAAGTTATAAGACAAAGAACAAAGAAATCAAATTTATATTAGACCAATATTTAGGAATCACATATTGGCTTTAATAGAATATTAACTGGTAAAATAAAGACAAAGTAATGCTTCTCATCCAAATTCACTTACCATTCTTAAGATGAATACCTGAACACATCAAATTGTTTTAAGAATTTTATTCTCAAATAGGGATGGTTTCCCACCGTGATTTTAAGGCAGTATGAACTATAAACACAAACTTAATTAGTTTATGCAAGACTATATTTGTTTTCTTACTAAGAGGCTAATTAAATGGAGCTTCCTAAATTCTTTTCACTTGTCTTACAAGTTAGATGAGTATTTAACCTGAGAGATGATAATTATTATTTATTATTTCCAACATTCAGACTGGATGATTTATTTCTTATAAATGGCAAATAATATTTTACAATACTGTATCCCTGTAGTTCCTCTAGTACATAACCTGTGTGAGGGTTCAGTGCCCTTTGCCCCAGAGCTGCTGGTCCCCATGAATAGGAAAATGTCCCTACCCATTCAGAGCCTGGTTTTCCCCACTCTTTGGCCTCTATAAAATTACCGCGGTCCCTGCTGAAATTACAGAGAAACACCCACTCTGCCTTTCCTGAGGCCTACCTGCTGCACAGTCAGGAGGGCATGTCTGGCTTCCAGAAAGTTTTTACTTCCCAGAAATGTTTAAAACCCCCGTTTTAAAAACTTTTCCTCTTAGAGCATTGTACGTATTCTCACTGCGTCAAAGCTGGAAGAGCTAGACTCTAATTGGTGGCCCAAAATTTGCAACAGTGTTTTGCCTGCTGGTCACCAGAGGCCTTCCTGATAGTCAGACCCACGGTCGTCCCCATTCTGCTGGCCTGCAGCGGTCTGGGAGGTGAGGCAGAGTGTGCTCTGTGCTCCCGATCCCTCTGAGCAGGGCTCAGCCGCACAGATCCAGCCCAATGCTAAGCCCAGCATGCTCCAGCTCTCTGGCTGCTCTGCAGATCCTGGGGGTCTTAGCCCGTGCACGGCAAGGCCTTTCCTATCAGACTTGGTGGAGATGCTTCAAACTCAGCTTTCTGCAGCCTGGGCCTCGAAGGAAGGAATTAGGGGGTGAGCTTGGCCAGATGGTCAGAAACAGAAAATGGACAAGCTTCCCAGAGGCTTTTCCCGGGAACACCTCCAATATGTTGTCAGCCTTGATCTTATGACTTCTCAGAACAGTCTTGGGAGATGTGGACCACGACCCCCTTACAGACAGAATTCAGCACGGCCCCTCACACATGGAAGCTATTGATTTGCTGCAGCCACTAGACTCTGAGACTCCCCTAACTAAACTATGTTTCTCAAGGCTGCATTTTGGCAGTGGGTGGAGTTTCCTGGCATATAGAAGTGAACACTCAATACGTGTTGAATGAATGAGCAGATTAATCATTTGGTAAAGCGTTTTGCAAAATTTGGGTCACAAATGGAGATTTCAGTTTTTGCCAGGTTTCATTCAGCAAGGGCAGGTCTGATGCTACCACCCTCGGTTTGCTGCCAGATGGAAAAGCGGCCTTCTGGGAAAAATGGAATTCAGTCCTGGTGTGCTTCTCACAGGATGGAGTAGCTGGCACCCATGCAGGTAGGCGACCCTGGGTGCCCACCCTTACTGCATGCTCCAAAAACCCCACCGAGGCTCCTTTCTGGTGCAAGTTGTGATGGGCACTCATGAATCATCCAATGGCCGGTGCAGCTAAAAACCAGTTCAGAGCAACTTCGGTCCAGCAGTCCTTTCTCCCCAGTTAATTGCCACATAAAAAGACACATCCCTGAGAAACCAAAGCACTCAGTTTATTAGTCTGTGTCTAAACTCAGGACGACCCCTGGAAAACACACACTTTGTGCCAACTCCCTTCTTAGCCCTGTAACTTCTCACCTGTGCAGTTTCAGCGTGTGATCTTTTGCTGTGTCCTGGGAAGAGTCAGGGAAGTTTGCCTTTCTGGGCTGCTTCCCTAGGCCTCACATAGTCACTGGCCTCACAGAGATTCTTCTCTTGACCTATAGCCGATCCAGAAGGTCTCCAGTGGCCACGGCTGCCACATGACTGAAGGTGAAGGAAGAAGAACGACCCACCCTTGAATTCTGCTCCTGGCCCCGTCCAGAAGCTGACCTTAGAGAGGCCTCTGACCACTCACCTGCACCTTGTCCTGCTGCTGGGTGTGGGACATGAGAAGGTCTTCGGTGGCCAGCATGCCTTTGGGCAGCTCTGTCGTGGCCAGGCAGGCCCCAAATGTCTGCAGCATCTGCGCAGTGGTCTTCAATGTCAAGGCAAAATTTTCTATGGCCTGGAAGGTCAGATGAGAGGATCAGTGTGGAACAATGAGCTTTCACTAAGACGCTTTCTCAGGGGAAGGACACAGAGTGCCAGCAGTGGGCCACACTGTCGTTTCTACGCGTCTGTGTATTACCTCAATAATCCCGAAGGAGAGATATTAACTTCTTTTAGAGAGGAGGGGACTGGAGTTCCAACAGGTCGTGAGTTGCCCCAGAATCAATATACTCGGGCCATAAAAGGTAGGAACACATGTAGGATCCAAGCAAGGCGAGCTGTTTCAAGGCTGGGGCTCTGTTCATTACCCCAGGAACACTTAATATTAAATATGAATCAGAATTTATATTAGGTGTAAAACTGCAAAGGGCAGAATCACCCCTCCCTCTGACAACCCTGACTTTCCCTTTCATCCCTTAAGTTTCCCTCCCTCCTCTTCTTTCCCTCGCACAGACGTGTGCCTGTGTGTGGTGCCTAGGAGAAGCCTGTTGACTGCTCGAGAGAATATGGATGTCAGGGGAAAAAAATGAAGTGACCTTTGAGAGTGTCATTTCTACTCGATGTGATTTGGGGACCTCATCTTGTCACAGGCTTATCAAAGGTGGTGTTCTGGGTTCCTTCTTCTTAGGCCTCTATACTACTATTTAGTAAATCTGTGCTAACTAGTCCATGGCTTCTCAGCTAATATCCTAGATGAGGGAGCTTCACATTAGTGGACTAGGGCCTATGCTAGAAAAAGTATCGTGGGCCCTGGAGGACTTTGTTGCAGTTCTGGCCTCATGAATCATCTGCTTGTCAGATTATCCTCCAAACCCACTTCACCCTGCTGCCCAGACAGGCAAAAACCAGGCATATTCATCTCTGCACCCCGGGGCATGACACTGTGCCTTTCACACAGCTTAAGGGGCCCTCAAAAAGCTGTCCAAAGTGGGCACGGAAAAAGCAAAGAGACCTGCTGAACTTTCCTGGGGGAAGAAATGACCTCTTTTTCCACAGTATCAGAGAATATTTCCGAAAACCCAAACCCACTGGATCTAACCAAGAGGCAATAACTATGTCTGAGGTCATAGCGGGAGCTGTCGTGAGGAAGCTTCGAGAACACTGCCCACCTCCTGCTATCACAAAGTCCTCTTGGCTTCAGCCCCTGGTGAGCTTGAAGCATTGGCAGAGGGGAATCTCCCTATCAACACAGGCACTTGGAGCCACAACCTGCAACGTGACAGTACTTCTGTTCGGAAAGCCAGCCAGATACTTCTATGGAAGCCTTTCGAATACATCCACAAGCTTATGGTCACACATAAGCTAACATCTGTATGTGATGCATTTATAATTACATTACTAATGATCCATGATGAACAACAGAAAACACCCCACTTACCAAGGGAATAATAAGGACACGTAAAGTTAGGGTGTATTTCCCCTCCTCATGCAGCTTAGCTAGGTGCTATCATCAACCCAGATTCTGTTGGTGAAGGAACCTGGGTATGCCAAGGGAATGAGGGCATTCCTTGAAGCCATATAAAAAAATAAATGGCACAAGTGGGATGGAAGCCAGGTGGTTTGGTTCCTGGGCTGCACGCATAAGTTCTGCATTTTGCCAGTTCTTGGTAAGCAAAACTGTATTTGGCAAAATTGGATTGAAAACCAGATCCACGGAAGATCTGGGCCCTCAGAGCTGAAGATGTGAATTATAATCCAGCTACTGATCCTTGCTAACTGTGTGATCTTGTTAAGTCTGGCAAAGCCGTTGAGTCCAAGAATCCTCATTTGGAAAACAGGGGTCATAGTTTCTGTTCTTCAGGGTCTGGTTTTTTTTTCAGTGCTAGGAATTGACCTCGGGGCCTCAGGCATATGCTAGGGTTAGTGATCTTCCCGAGCTACATTCACAGTGGAGTGAGGGCTCTTTGAGGATCCAAACCGGACAGCAGATATGAAGGGATCCTGGGGACAGTGGGGTGCCTTACAGGTGTGATAGTAACAGTGGCCGGGAGTGTCAGTGGAGAGGCCTGAAAATGTCATTTTGAAAACAGAAGAGAGCCAAAGTGTTCCGTGAGGGCTACCTGTGAACAACTTAATTTGATTCCATGTTACCCCATGAATGATGTCTTTGGAAATGGCACAGAGGACGTCATCCTGATGGGAGAATTAAAAAGGGCATGGCTGGCCATCTGACCTTGGATAAGTCTCCTTTTTACTCTGCAGGTCAATTGCCTTATCTATAAAACAAAGTGATTCAAGTAAACACTCTTTAGAGCCTTTGAGGTCTAATTTTCTCTGAGCCTCTCATTCATAGTTGTGACATCTGGAAAGCACAGTCACACAGACACACAGAAAAAGGATCTATATCTTTAAATCATAAGATATAAAGCAATATTATATGGGTTTTTTATGGTACCAGGAATCAAACTCGCAACCTCCTTCTTGCCTGGCGGGGCGCGTGCCCCTGAACTAAATCCTGCTCTTTATATGTGTTTCTACTCTAATTATTCCCAGGTATATGTGTGGATAAAAGTATGCATAAAACATGTAAGAGTCATGTAAAGAACACTGCCAGTCTTTCAGTACTAGTTATATTTTAGTGAGTTTTTTTTTTAACACATCCACAACCTGAAACCATAAACCAGGCTACAAACTAGGTCTAGCAGGGCTGGAAGTACACACATGTCTTCAGGCTACTGCTACACAACCAGTCTCCACGACCCGATCCTGCTCTAACTCTCTGAATTCCTATTTGGATCTTTGATGTCAAGGCACACATATCCTTAAAATTAATTTGCTGCAAGTTGTCTTGGCTCAAAAAAGATTTGAGGTAGTTTGAAAAACAAACAGCATGAGTAACAAGTAGAGAAATCAGGGTGGAGGGGAAAGCCAGCCCAGCAAGAGTGGCAGGACAGTAAATTCTTCTGGATTCTTTAATGCTCGAAATGCCTAGAAAGTGAAAAACAAAGCCTGGAGGCACGTCAGGTTGTACGTGGCCTAATCAAATCCAGCCTGGGAAGGTGCGCCCATCCACTCACTCATTGATGACATTGATACATGAGCTGCCTTCTGAGTCTCTCACGATGAGACTTACTTAAAGAATGGAGCATTCCCAAGCCTAAGTGCAGTGGTGCACACCTCTAATCCAAGCACTTGGGAGGCTGAGGCAGGAGAGTTCTCGTGACTTAGTCACCCTGAAGCCCTACTTTTGAATACTATCACACTGGATCCTGGCATGTTTAACTTAGGGTCAGTGTGGCGGGGCGGAGCGGGCACACTAATAGTCAACCACAGCAGTGAGTTTTATTTTCATTTTTCCTTCAGTACTACTGAAACATCTAGATTAGCATAACAACCACTAGTACAAATAAATAGCAAAAAGTAAAATGCCATATAAGGAATGAGCCAAAAATATTCAATTAAAAAAAAAACTACAGTAAAAGACACATTGCCAAGAACAATGGAGCAAAAACAATGGAGTTTTTGAGTCAAAGGGAAGTATTCTGAGGGGATTTCATTGCAACATGTTTTTACTGTAAGGAATTTTTATTTAAGAACTCAACATGTTGTTTGATTGTCTCTCACTGATCCAACGTTTATGTCAGTGTCTGGCAGCTAAAAACATAATGGTGGGTCTTCCCCACCTCTTTCTCTGCCTCTGGCACCATGCGACTTCTGGCTCATTCCCAGCATCAAAATGACCATGAAGGGAAAGCGCTTTGACCTGACTCAGGGCATGAAGGCAGCCAGGACCGTGCAACTAAAGACACTCACAAAAGAGAACTTAGCTGCTTAGGAAAGTGGCAAGTGTGATGGGATACAGGTATCTTCAGGGAGAGCCAGGGCCTTGAGGGTGGTGAATGGCAATGAGTCTTTTACTGTCATAAATCTAAAAACACTTTCAGCATTCACTGTATTTTTTAACCATACTTTGCATACCAAGCTCTGTGTCTCTGTCCACGTCATTGTATGTTCAGGTACCTTTTGTTAGTTCAGGGTTTCCCAGCATAGGTGCTACCCTCATTTTGGGCTGGATAATTTTCTGTTCTGCAGCCCAGTTGTGCAAGGGTCTTTGGCCCCCACCCACTGGAGCCTAAAACTACCTCTGGTCAAGTTATGACTACAAAAATTACCTAATGACATAGTTAAATGTCTTCCGGGGGTCAACACGACTCCCAGCAGAGACCAGAGCTTCAGTCTCATTTTAACACAGGCGGAACCAGGGGCTTAGAAACTCACTCAGCCTGACCGTGAGGAAAGGGCACGCCATCTGAATGCAGCTAACTGCCTTCCTGCCCACTGTCCACAGGAATCATCTGGGAGTTTTATGAATTAACCCATCCCAGATCAAGTAATTTCCCTGAGGTATATTTCTGGTGTTACGGTATTTTTGAAAACTCCTCCCGGCACCCTAAGTCAAGACTCTCAAAACCCCCAAGTCAGAAGTTGCAGGAAGCCTGGCAGTTCTCGAGCAAACCTCAGCCTTTTCCCTTACACCGTCCATCTTCCCCACACCCTGGCTGAGAAATTCCAGTTTTCCTGGCAGTAGGCAGCCCTGGGCAGTGACCTCACAGCTGTGGCCTTCAGCTTCCCCTGGCTTCTGAACACACCAGCTAGTACTCACGGTGCGATGATTCAGCCACTGGCTGTGGCGATATTCCAAAGTCCCCCCCAGCTCCTGAGTCAGCTGGCTTTTGTCAATGTAGCCATGAAGATCGGAAACAGAGTTCAACATGATGATCTGTCAGGGAAAATAAAATCAAATATATTCTTCATAGACCATGAAATATCAATTCTAGTTCTGTTATTAAATAATACTTCTGCTTGGCCTTGTCAGACATTTGTAAACAAAGACAGGCGCTGTATGGTGGGGGACTATTTCAGTGTCCCTTTTTGTCTTTCCCTTCTGGACAACGAATACCAAAATGTCATACAGCCTGTGACAAAATGGTGAGTTCGATCAGGACGTTCAGTATCAGGCTACTGAGAAGACAGGTCTTGTAGGAAGTAACTCTTTATTTGAAGTTCCCAAGCTAAGGCATACTTTTTAATCACCAGACTCAAGGGCTGTGCTGAAGCCTAGAAGTCTGGACTGGGAGAATTCCAATCAAGTATGGTTTGGTGAATATTAAAATAAAATTAGAATACAGGAGCCCACAGAGCAGTTATTGAAAAGTCACTGGAGAGTTACAGCCCTAATTGATCTTGGAGGAGAAAGGGACATATTAGCAAGGGGCTTTTCATAAACTAACAGTTTGCTGATGAATGATTCCCACACATCTAGAGGAAGCTGACATCTCCAACTGGGCCTCACAGGGCTGACCTGGGCCTGACACACGCTCTCTGACCCAGGGACCAGTATCCTCTGGTCTTGTCCTAACCAGAGACAAGGACTCTTCACTCCTAGCTCTGAAACACATCCCACCAAAGCTTTTAACTAACAACTTTATACATTTTTTATTCCTCATTGATTATTATAAAAATTGATTCTTGGCCAAGCACAAAAGAATGTGGGCTTTCTATCATTAGTAAATGGCAATGGTGGTGAACCTATGGCATGTGTGCCCTAGGAGGTTGTTTGTGTCATTGAAAGCTCTAGAAGGTTTGCCATCACTGGTATATAGTATTAGTCAAGTGATAAATCTGCCCTGGAATGAACAAGATAAATCAGAGCCAAGGGCTATAGGTGAAACACAATCACAGAAAAAATTACTTACTCATTGAATAGCTATTAAACTATCTGAATAAATACCAGGTACTGGGAAATAAAATCATAAGTGATAGACCATGCCTTCAGTGACCTATGCTTAGTGGAATTCGATTGCTGTCTATTCCTTTGTTAGCCTGTCGGGGCCTACAACTTCTTCCTTCACTTCTGAAAATGGTTTGAATATTTTTTTTCATGTTTCAAGAATTATGTTTCCAATGTAAGTAAGAAAAAAAGAATCCCAAATATATGTATGTTTCCCCCCTAAATGTTTTAAATTACCTGATGGGACCTTTGAAAAAGGCTTTTAGTCTTTAAAAATTAGAAACTGCTAGGGACATAGCTTAGCAGCACAGAGCCTGCCAGGCAAGCATGAGGTTGTGAGTTTGAGTTTGATTCCTGGTACCAAAACAAATTAAATAAATATAATAAAATAAAACTAGAAATTATAGGACAGGTAACAAGAAGTCATTAATGTCTTTTGCATTGCTATGGCAACACCGGGCATCTATAAAGGTATACCTATGTATGACTTTGTTTTGGACAGAAGTGACTTCCCCACCCAGCCAGCACTCTCACGGGTGAAGGCTGCCAGAATGTACCTGGCTTCCCCGCTTTAACAGGGGAGGGAAGGGAGTCCCTGCACTCACTAGGACTGGGCTTTCCCATCTTCAACTGTGGAAGGCCAGGAGGCATTTAAGCTAAAAGTGAAAGCTAAGAGTGAAACTTGAAAAGAAGCCATCAGCAGGCTCAGTACTTTTACTATTTTAATAATGACCTACAGATTTCTAGCAGCCCCAGTCAAGATCCCAACAAACGTTTTTATAGAAACCGTCAAGCCGATTCTAAAATTCATATGCAAATGCAAAAGATGCAATTTTGGAAAAGAAGAACAAGCTGGGTGATTCACAGTACCTGGTTTCAGGACTCACGAGTTACAGGAAGTAGCAAGAGCACAGCAAGGGCCCGAGACCAAGGCAGTGGGACAAAACAGCTTCCCAAAATAGACTCACAGATCAGGTCAGCTGATTTTTAACTTATTATTTTGAAGTAACAGTAAATTCACAAGAAGTTGCAAAGATAGTACAGAAGGGTCCTTGTACTCTTACTAAACTTCCGCGCCCCCACTGGCTGTAGCCTTTTAATTACAGTACAATGTCATGGCACACACCTGTAATCCCAGCACCCAGGAGGCTGAGACAGGAGAATCGTGAGTTTGAGACCAACCTGGGCTACAAAGTGAGCCCTAGCCCAGCCAGAGCTGCATAGTGAGACCCTGTCAAAAATAAATGAATAAATGTAAAATATAAAATTAAGGACCCGGTAGTATGATCAGAAATAGATTTGGTCTTTGTCCCAGGTTCTCAGTACAGAGCCCCTCAAAGCCTTTGGAGTCTCCTGAGTGATGACTGTCTTTTCGTTTTCATTATGAGCCTGTTGGGTCATACTTGGCTTTATCCTCATAGAGCGACTTAGGATAAGACCCCTAGTAGCCCAGGGACGGGGCTGGCCACTTGAAAGCATAAATGATTATGGGTTAGAAGGAGCTCACGATGGAGATAGTGCTTATACAAACTCCTCACCAAGAAGTCCAGCAGAGCTAGGAGAGAGGAACTCTTAGGGTTCTGGGAGAAAAGAGTGTCCGAGGTTCCAAGCCCTTTTCTCCAGCCCTGGTCCTATGCACCTCTGCCAGCTGGCCCTTCCAGATGGTTGTCACGTCCATCATGTTGATTATGGTGGTGATTTCCTGGATATGCATGTATACCAGCATTTATGAAACTATGCTTTTTATGTGGAAAAAAAGAAGGCAAAGCAGCTTCACCATAATTTTGTTTCTTTTTAAAGAATCTACACAAGATCAAATGTTCGAAAAAAGATTTAAAAATTCTATATAAGAAAAAAGAGACCAAAATAATTCTACTCGTCAAATTCACAGGAACACTGTATGCACATGTAAACCTGGCCTTAAGGTAGTCTTTTTTGCTTTCACAGATTCTGTATTTGTTTGGCATCCTTTGTCTCAGGGTCAGCTATATAAACTACATTTCCTTGTTTTTTTTGCATTCCTGGTGCTCTGGCCTCAGTGGCCTCTGTGACCCGTCAGGGTCTGCAACCTGCCATGGCTAAGCACCTTCAAGGGAGAGCCAGGGGCTTGGCTGGCCCCAGCCTGTCCTCCTCCAGCCTACACACCCCAGCCCAGCCCCCAGCTGCTCTCCATCCCAAGAGCACACAAACAGACAGTATCTCCCCTGCTCTGATTGGCTCCCAGAGCCCGACAGACCCCAGCTCCCTGAAGACTACCCTTACGCCACGCCCTGAGCTCAGAGGAACCGTTCCTACCTGCCACCCCAAACCCTTTCTCCCAGCCCGCCTCACCGAAACTGCAGAAACCCAGTGATCAAAGGCTCTGGCTCTGGCTCTGCTACTGCTCCTGCTTCTGCCTCCGGCCCCAAACCCATGCTTCCTCTGCTACCCGTGTGGCATACTCAGTAAATGATCTATAACTCTCAGGTTCACCTGCCGCCCTTAGTAGCTCACACTGGAGATCTCAAGTGCAGAAACGGCCTCTCCAGGCCCGAGTTCTCCTGCGGCACCATGTCCCCCATCCAGGGTCTCACACGGCTGCCACACACACATGTGATCTCCTGTCTCCTTCTCCTAATCCGTTCCTGTCTGGCCTAAAGCTCTCCCTGCACAGGATAGATGCTCTCTTAGTTACAGATCAACTGATCCTGCTTTCTGTCATGAACTGGTATTTTTAGGGGACCAGTGCTCACACCCACACTCTCTCTAGGAATTCTGCAGCTCTGCCTCGGCGACTTCATGTGAATGGCAACGGGCCTGGCCAGCACCAGCCACTGGGCCACGCTTAGCTGTCTATCAGATGCTTCGTCCCCTGAGGAAAGACACAGGAAGCTACGCTGCATCCATGGCCCACCTGACTCTTACGCCAGCAACGCATGATGAACCCACCCCTACTGACGGAGGTAGAATTGTTATGTCTGCAGGGAAATGTTATACCAGCCAGCCAAGAGGGCCACAAAATGCTGTGATCACAATCGTGTTTTATAAAACAGGAAGACAAACTAAAAGCTGGAACTGTCATTTAAAAGATAAGATGTATTTTGAGATTTGATTCCAACTTGGTAACCTCAGAATCAGTTCCACAGACCACTAGAGCTACCAGGAGACAGCAATCATGTGCAGGAGAAAGAAATAGCTTTGGGGTGCGCTTGATTTGAGGAACACCCTCTGACATGTGCCCAGGGTTTGGGTGGCCAAAAGAGTTTTTAAAGATTGATTGTAGTTGGGTGTGGTGGTGCATGCCTGTATTCCTAGCACTTAGGAGGCTGAGGCAGGAGGATCACTATGAGTTCAAGGCCAGCCTGAACTACACAGTGAGACCTTGTCGCAAAAGACCAATCAATTAATCAATAATAAAAATTGATTTTAATTTTAAAATTAGAAGTAGATGGATATAGAATGAACATATACTACCAGAGACAGATGCAGCTAAAGTAGATATCCTGTCCCTCCTCAGTGCAGGTGGGGCATGTGAAAAGCAGGGTATAAGTCATGTATGTATCTGTACAGACTGATCCCCCAGAAAGGCTTGCTCCACACACGACCAGAGAAACACATGTGACACTCAGCCACAGGCTCAGTTCCGACTCCAAACCATTTGAGAGGCAAGGAACGAGTCTTCTCTTCCAAAGCAGGAGAGCCTGCGTGAGGTCCTGCCATTTGCCTGCCCCTTCCACATCCTCTTGTATTTCCAAACATCAATCATGACTCAAGTCAAGAAAACTGAGTCGGAATCCACAGCTTGTATTTCCCTCATGCCCTCTGTCAAGGGTTTTAAAGCGAGTAATTAAAATAGAATGGGAAATTCATTTTGAGTTTGTAAGTACCCAACATATAAGGAAAAAGTACTTTTAGACATTTGACTGCATGTGTAAAAGGAACCGAAAGAGAGACAGGAGGGTTAAAAAGGAGAAAGAGAAAAGGGAGGAAAATCCCTTGACTGAAATGGTCTCTCTTTCCTGACATTTAATTAAAGTTGGTTTTTGTTTGTTTTGAACAGATACCATGCATAGATAGTAATGAACTGAAACAGAAAAAGTCTCCCTAAATAAAAAAAAAAATTCTCCCCCTTCTTATCTGAAGGCCTCCTCACCTGAAGGAGGCAACCACTCAACATTTTCTTGTATATCCTGCATCTCTCCTGAGGTGATCTGTAGGCAGATAACCATGCCCTTCTTACTTTACCCAAATTGGTATACACTGGATACACCATTCTCCCCTTGCTTTTCTCTCCCCTTAAAAATATATCTTACATGGGCTGAAACTTAAGGTATCAGGTGTAAACTGACGTGTGTACTCAAGTGTGTATATATGTACGCACACACATGTATATACACACATAATGTGCATACATCATTATAAATATGTGCATACGTTTACAGCTTCTACTGCTGTAAGGACCTAAAAGCAAAGACACGCAGGTGGGAGAGAACATTCTGCAGCTAGATCATGGGCTGTTAGACTACGGAACACCAAGAGGAGCCAGAGGTGCTGAGCTAAATGGCTAAGTACAAGCTGAATCAGGGTGTGTGGACAAAGCGGTTTTAGGTCATCAGGTTAGGACAGAAAGCAAGGAAGTACCTAGAAATGGCACAGACACAAAGGCTGGCTTGAAGGCCCCCAGTGTCCAGCTCTGGGACAGCTGATGCACCAAAATAATCAGGGACAATAGCAAATTATAAGGCATTGAGAAAATGAAAATCTATGACAGTCTACGTGCTGTCTTACAGTGGAACGTAGCTGCTGATTAGTGATATTGAGGGAGCACTGAGGCTGGAGATGAGTCTTTTGTCATCCATATAATAAAGACCACTGCAGGCAAGAATCATCAGTGCATAGCAAAGAGAGGGATTTTTGTGTTTTGTTTGTTTGTTATTTAGGAGCAGAATGCTTGCACCATCTCAAGCTGTTTCTCCAGAAATCCACTGCTGCAGTAGCTGTGAGCCAAACAATACAACTAGGAAACTGAGCCAAACCTTTGTAAGAAGGGAGGGAGTCAGAGTTAACCACCAAGGAGGGCAGGTGAGTGCAGTGGGCTCCCAGTGATCCCCTGACAGGGAAGCAAACCACGGCTGGGATTGTGTAACCCGATCAAACCACCGGAGAAGTGACGTGAGCCCCAAGAGAGGCATGGTTTTTTTTTCTAGGGGACTACATTAGTCAAATAGTTTAATGCCATAAAAGACATCACGTGCTCTTTCCTCTCCTTTCACCTGGAACATTTCCACAGCCTTTCTTTATCTTTTATGATACTAATATTTACGTGCATGTGCATACATACACAGACGGACACTACAAACGAGATAAGCCAGGGAGGGGCTAAATGCTAATGAGAAGTGAGTGGGTTTGCATAAAGGACTTGTGATATTCTTCTGCTATTTTCATTCTGGCTACTTTTCTCGGAATTTCAAATTATTTCAAGTAAATATTTAAAAGCCCAACTACAGTAACAACCCGATTTGGCAAAATTTTGCTTCTGTTTGCGAACTCCGTGTTGGGTGAGGAGCATGACCTAGGCCATCTTCCCCAGAACAAATTAAGTTCATGAACTGAAATGTGATTGTGTGGGGACTGGGGGTGCATGGCATAGCAGGCTGAGGCAGGGGGATCACAGTGCTGAACCTAACTGGGAGATTTAGCCACTTACAGAGACTCTGTGTCAAAATAAAAATAAAAAAGGGCTGCCATGTACCTCAGTGCACAGGCCCTAATTATTTATATATATATATATATATATATATATACATAAAATATATACAAATATATGTTTATATTACATAAATATATACAGAAATACTATATATAATAAAACATATAAAACATATATATATATATATATATATATATGGACACTGCTGTGTCAAACCCAGCCTTCACATACACTGGGCAAATGCTCTACCACTGAGCTACACCCTAGTTATATCACTTTAGAATTATCTATTTTTTTTCTATTTTTCATATTTAGTTGAGATCTAATCTACATTGCTAAAACGCATGGCTTTTAAGAGTACAGTGTGGGTAGTTCTGCTAAATGCATACACAGTGCAGCAGCATTCAGTTGATAGAGGGTCATTTCCTCCCGGAGGTCCCCTCTTCCTCCTTCCACTTGGCCCCCATCACCCTTTGCTCCTAACAGAAACTACCGTTTGATTTTTTTATTACCACTACATAGTTTTGCCTATCCTTGACCTTTCTGTATATAAGAAGCCATAAAGGTATATGCTTTAATTTTTTTTTTTTTTTGAGGCAGGATCTCCCTATGTAGACCGGCTGGTTTTGAACTCACTATGTAGCTCAGGCTGGCCTCAAACTTACAGTGATCCTCCTGCCTCAGCCTCCCAAATGTTGGGACACAGTATGTGGCACCATGCCTGGCTCAGTATAATTTTTAGTGTCTAGCTTCTCCCTATTAAGAGAATATTTCTGAGACACATCCACATCTTTGCAGGTATCAGTACTCTGTTGCTTTTCATTGCTTCATGTTATTCTGTTATATAAATGACAGTTCCTTTTCCTACTTACCTGTTGGGGTGTGTGTGTGTGTGTGTGTGTGTGTGTGTGTGTGTGTGTGCAGACACGGTTTAATTCCTTGGCTGAATCACAGCTTAAGCGCAGGTTTACTTTATCAGGCACTGCCGATCATTTCTGACGTGGCTGTACCATCTCTTACCCCTTTCAGTGGCCACATGGAATGGCACCGATTGACCTAATGGACCAACTGTCCAGCATCAAATTCCCCCCAGTCTTCTGCTATCGCAAACAGCGTGGTAGTGAATCTCACTGTTTGCGCCCAGCTGTAAGACTTTCTGAGGACCAACTTCCACGACCAGGTCAGGGCACGCACACGCCAGCGTGCTGTGAATTGGGCCATTAGTCTTCCAGATTGGTCATTACCAACTCCATTCTCACCAGCTAAGTTTGAGCGTGGTGATTTGCTCATCTCTGCTTGTCAAAATGACAGGTAAAATTTTGAATGTTTTAGTTTTATTTTGTTTTTGTCTTATTAACAGCTCACTACTGAGTTTTTGCCCTACAGTATTTTGGGGCAAGGCGCGGATATGGGGAATCAAACTCAGGACCTCATGCTTGCCATGCTTGCCATGCTTGCCACTGAGCTCCATCCCTGGCCCTGCCCTGCAGGTGTTTTTTTGAGGTCATGCTCATGTTTTCTTTCACCTGCACATTGGACCTTTCTCTGGTGGAAATGGGCACAGGACCGCACTCACCGGCACCTTCATTCTGAATTCATCCCGATAGTACTTGATGCCCAGGTCCGTGAAAGTCCTCTGGAGGAAGCGAGCCGGGCGGAGGATGAAGATGAGCTGCAGGTTTCCCGGAAATGCCACCTGCAGGCGGGGAGAGAGAAACTGTGGCATCCAGGACCGAGGTCTGCTTTGTTCTCCTCTGGCCCAAAATCACAAGAGAAAAAGTGAAGGCGGTCCCATTCATGCCAAAGACTTAGAACAGATTTCACAGAATTTCAGAGCAGAAGGAGACCTCACAGTTCAGGCAGCTCAAACCCCTCCTTAAAAACCAAGTCAACAAGCAAACTCCTCCCTTTCTTCTTGTTTCCTTCTTTTTTCTTTCTTTCCTTTTTTCTTTATCCCTCTCTTTTCTTTTTCTTTACTTCTTTCCTTTTTTCTCCCTCTTTTTCTTTCTCTTTCTTTCATCTCTTTCTCTCTTTCTTCTCTTTTCCCTTTCCTCCCTTCCTTTCCATTTTTTGACACAGAGGCTCACTGCACAGTCCAGGCCGGCCTGACCTTGCCGACTACCGTACCTGCAGCTACAAGTCGGGTATGGTTATCTCAAAGTCCCGTACCCCAAACTAAACTAAAGGGACAAAATCCACGCAGTCAGAGAAAGGAGTGTCCCTTCCCATCTTCAAAACACGGGCTCCTAAAGGGAGAGCCATGAGTTTGGTCGCGTGGGGACACAGGACGTCAGCCGAGGCACGCCGTGCACCTGCCTGAGCTCTGACACGGTCCGAGAGCAGCTGTGGGGTGCACGTCCGCAAGCTGCTTCTGTAGAGGGCACAGTGGGGCTCATGAGGCCCCACCCCGTCCTAGCTCTTGCACCTCATTCCCACCCTGCCTCTGCTGCCCTCTTTAGCCTGCGCCGAGGTAAGGACATGGTTCCCCATCCCTGTCTGTGGTGTCCTTGTCTCGCTGAGCTCCCAGGCCTGAGGTCCCAACAGAGGAAGAGCAGATCTATTCACGGAAAGGCAACAAACAGGATCAAGAGCGGACTAACAAGGAAAAGGAAGCCCATCGGAGGGGGGCAATTTAATGCCGAGCACAAGCATCCTTCCGACAAACCTACTTAGGTGGTGTTTCATCTGAGACTACTTTCGTCTTTCTAATACGGGAAAAAGTTGTTTGAATGGTGAAATAAGGACTGTGTTAAATCAGGCTGGCAGATGAGGACTTGGGAGTGAGTGGTTTTCTGGGGAGAAGATTCCAAGGAGCCTGACAGAGACAGTGGAGAGGTGGACAGACAGCAAACCAGAGAGAGCCAGGATATTACAAGTGAGGGGTGACTGCTGCAGGCACAAGGGCCGGGGCCCCCTGAGATTTTGTGGCTGACACCTCAGCACTGCCCCAGTGAGGGTGCAGAGGCTGACGTATGTGTGCACCAACTCCTAGAAGGCTGTGGGTTACTCCTGTACCCTGACTTGCTGTCCCTCCCTCCCTGCCCTGTCCTGTGCTCCAAGAAGCTAGCAGGGTAGAGGTGCAGGGAGCCCCTGGCCTGCTCAGGGGTTGTCTGCAGGATGTCCTCAGGTGGCAGTGGGGCCATGAATGTGACAGTTCAGCACCTGCCACCGAGACCTCCTCAAAAGCTGACATAAGGTATTTGCTTTCTCTCCAGAACTTTGATAAGAAAAAGTTGGGCGGACCATTCAAATGACTTCAGTCACTGTAGCACAAAATACTCACAGCTATTCGCATCAAGGATGCCTTTATGGAGCTCCACTTGTCCCTCCGTCTGTCGATGACAATAACAAATCCGATGCTGGCAGCCTCCACACTGCAAAAAAGGGAGTCACTGTCAGAGGTCAGGTGAGGTCCCTGGGTTTGGCCTGGCTCTGACCACAGACAGAGTCCTCTGCCTCCTGCCCACTCCAGGCTTCTGTGTGACGCCCTGCTGGCACAGGCCCAGGACTGGTCAGGTTTCCCCACACGGGCACCAAGCCCCTCTGTCTACCCTGGGCTGACAGCCTCGACAGAACAGTACTTTGTCCCCCAGACCCTCTCTGGGACTCTGTTTCTGGCTGAAAAATGCATGAAACCCCACAGGACACACGCACTGGTGCCTGTGCAGGCTGGGGAGCATTTGGTGTTCCCAGGGTAGGCAGGGGGATACTTGGGGACCTCTTTCTACTCCCCATGTGAGCATTCACAGTGCTTTCAACTTCCTCCCGTAGGAGTCAGTCCCAGAAAGATTCGGAAATAACCTAGGCCAGCAGGGATGCACCCTTGTCCGGAGGCACCAAGAGGGGTTGTGTGAGAGAAGACACCGTCTCCAGCAGGACCAGACCCCACGAAAGACCCCAGTCTCGCGAAATCTTTTGAGACTAAAGCCCTAAAAGTGAAACTACTGTCCTTGTCTCCTTTGGGTACAGGTGTGATCTAGAACAAGGGCTTTGGGGGCTAGCTCACGCCCTAGTGCTGCTACATCCGGGCAACGGGTCATTGCAAAGGCTGCCTAACGTTTCTCAAATGCATTTCCTCCTCTGTAAAATTAGAGTACTATCACCAACAGGGAAGTGGTTAAAAGCTCCAATTCTGAAACCAGCCTGACTAGAGCTGAGTTCTGAATTCTACCATTTATACGTAGTGTGGTTTTCGTTTTCCCTTTGATGAAGGGAGCTACTTAACCGCTACACTTTCTCAGACTGTGTTTGTAAAGCAGAAATAATAAAATACCACAATGAGTGTAATTCTCGTGTATTACAAACATGCATCAATAACAATTTTAAAAATTAAATACGGTTGATGTGAGGATTAAATAGGTGTGTGTGTTTGCATGTATGTGTGGACATAATACTATTTAAGTGCTATTACTATTTTTTTTACAAGATTAAAAGAGACACAGTACACAAAACGTAGTTGTTAGTAGGCCTTGAATAGCTAATACTGGGGGAAATGTGTACTCTACACTCCACAGTGTCTGCAAGTAAATGTGGCAGAAGATCTATGCGAAATATGAAAGAAAATATGAACTAATCATTAATGTGTCAGCTCATTATTACAGATCCGTATCAACCAATGCAAGGAAGCAAGAAAAAGTGACCAATAATCCAGAGAGAAAACCATCAATAAATTCAGACTTAGAGATGCTTCTGTTGTTGGCAGACAAACCTTTGAAACTATGATCAGTATGTTGAAGAAAATGAGAAAATGCAGGCCAAACAGCTAAAAAATAAATTATTTCCAGAACTAGAAACTATCCTAAAGGAGAGATGAGCCTTGTAAGAGGACAGAATACTGATGCCTTAAATGAAGAGCTCACTGGGTTTGTAAAATAGCAGCTTAACAGGGTAGGTGAAAATGAAAACCAGTCAGAACTGAAACTATTCGAGCGAATCACACAGAGATGGGGAAATGGAAAGAACAGAACGGAAGAGAGGTATGGTGTGCGAACAAGTCTCAGCAGGAGAGGAGGAAGAATGGAGAGCAGAAACAAAGCTTTCAAAAATGGTCATGAATTTTCCAAACCTGATAATGACATCATCAACCCACAGATTCACACGAGATAAAGCAAAGGAAGACGGGGCAAAGGAAGTCATATCAGAACCAAACTGCTGAAAACGAGAGTGAAGGAGAAAAATCTCAAGACAAACAGGGCAAAAAAGACACATGGTCTTCAAAAGAACAGTGCTAAAAAGTCACTTACTTTCCAAAAGAAACCGTGACAGCGAGAGTGGAGAGAATTAATTAATCCGCAGACAGATTTTTCAAGAAATACTAACAGAGTTCCCAGGCTCAGAAAAGTCGCAAGCTGGGGATGCAGCTCAACAGCACAGTGCCCACCCGGCAAGGGGGCGGCCCTGCATTCCACTTCTGGGACCCTTTAGGAAAAGGACAATTAATCACCATGCAAAGGATCAACACTGGGGACTGTACTTTAGCTCTGGTTTAGGGAGGCTTGTATTCCTACCAAAAACAATGCTGGTTATATTAAAAATTTATGTCTTCCCTTAAGTATGATAGAACCCTGAGACAAACAATAAATGAACAAAATCCAAAGAGAGTTAAGACCTCGGGGAGTAAATCACTTCTGGAGTGGGCCTTTGCTTTCCTCTAGGGTGACAGGCAGATGCCTCTCCTGAGAGCAGACAAGGGCACCAGGGAACCTGAAAACTAACCCCACACCATGACCAAATCTGCAAGCAGGAATGAAGCATGCTGAGCTCTAAGTATGTGGATAGACACTATCAACCGTGTTTTCACTTCACCAAAGACAACTATCTATTCAAACAAAAATAATAAAGTATTATTCAATATACTGCATATTGATAGGCTTATTTCCAAAAGATGAGAAGTATAAAACAAAAGAGGCCTTTATTCTGAGAACACGGAGAGAGAGCCAGCACCCCTGACCAACCACTGGAGTCCGACTTTCTCTCTGGTGGACACGTGGTGTTTGTGTGTGGGGTATGTAAATAGCCTCGGTTTGGGGTGGAACCTAAGGGGGCATCAGGGATGCACGGGTAGCCCATTGCTCCTAGGTTTGGCACCACAGGTAAGTTCCCAGGGGCGGGGAAGATGACGTCACAGGTAAATTCCTAGGGGTGGGGAGATAGGAGCTTCCTGGTTCTGGTTGAGGCTTTTCTGGCTACAGAGTCCTGTCTGGGCCAAAACCCTTTCACATATCCCACTAGCATTAAGGCTGGGACGGAGCACAGGCAGTCATACTACTGAAACTAGCATTGAATGAGATGAAAATACACTGTTTAGACAGTTTATGAAGCTGCGTGATATTAACAAAGGTAGAATTACTACGTTAAGGATACAAGCTGTAACAGTAGGGAAACTGCTTTGAAAAGGAGGTCAGTGGAACATTGATGATACTGAGCAGTATAGTGCTTACCTAACATGCAAAGTCCTGGGTTTGGTCCTCAGCACTGCTTTAAAAAGAAGAAGGAGAAGGAAGAAGAGGAAAAGAATAAAAAGAAGGAGGAGGTGGAAAAGAAAGAAGAAATTTGAATAACACAAAAGAAGGCAGGAGAGGAAAAATACAAGAACAATCCATAGATGGCATAAATGGCAAAATGGTGTATTTAAACTCAGTTTTACTAATAATTACATTAAGTGAAAATGGTTGCTATTATTCCATTTAAAAAGCAAATGTTGACACAGTGAATCTACTGCTTATAGGAGATACATTTTAAATATGAGGGCAAAGAGAGACTGAAAGAAAAGGGTCATAAAGGCTACATTATGCAGACACTAATGATAAGAATCTGGCCAGCGTAATTATACTGATATAAAAACAAGTAATGCTCAAACAAGGAGCATTGATAGAGAGAAACGATTAAAAAGGAAATGTAACATCATAAAGGTGCACGCATGCACTAACAGTGCTTTGAAATACACTGATCAAAAGTCGGTAAAACTAAAAATTTTTAAAAAGAAAAAACTTATAGAACTAAACTAAAAATAGTTGAGCACAAAAAGACTGCAATTTTATTACTTCTTTCTCAGTAATTGTTAGAAAAAGAGTCAAAAAAATGAGAGTTGACTTTGAAGAACTTAAAATTCAGCAATCACAGAACACATTTCCTTTTCAAATGTTCAGGACACAGTTATCAAGACAGACTGCGGTTTGGCCACGAAACAAGTCTGAACAAATTTTAAAGAATTGCAGTTACAGAAAACATACCACGGAATTAAAGTAGAACTCTTTCTTTTCTATTTCATTTATTTTTGCTTCCCTCTCTTTACAGTTTCCTTTCCTATTTATTTGGTTTTAATCGTTCTTCTTTTTGTTTCTCTTTAGCTTCTTATGGTAGAAGATAAAAGCACTGATTTTACATCTCGCCTCTTTTCTAATGTAAGTCCTGGAAAGTTTCCCTTTTCTCTTAAGCGCTACCTTAGCCGTGTCACATAGGTGAGATACAGCTTTCATTCCTGCTCAGTTAAAAATGCTTTCTTCCTTCCTTTGTGATTTGCGATTTCTTTTTGGACCCACGGGTGATTTAGAGGCAATTTCCTACCTTTCGAATGTTTTGCAGTTTTCCCAGTCAACCGTATGACAGTCAAAAGGCCAAGCAGCCAGTCCCTGGGGCCGGGTTACTGATGGCCATGAGGCAGGGGTAGAGCTTCGAACAAACATTTTGTGCCCTCCTCAGGGTGGTCATGGAAACAGGTAAACAGTCACCACATTAGAGATTAAGATTTGTATACTTTATGTAAATTAGAACTCAGTTTAAAAACCCAAAGGGCGGAAGCCAGGTGGGAGACCACCTGTGACAGAAGTGAGGTCCTGTCTGGAAAACCAAAATGTTCAAGAACTCAAGGTGCAAGAAAGGAAAACTATTTTAAAATCTAAACCAAACTGGTCACTCCCAACAGAAACAACTATCTTAAGTAATGTCTCTTATCTGTTGGGCTCCCATGACTTGTCAGAATTACAGTTTATCTCGCTTTACGACATCAGTGTCCTTACAGCTGAGCAAACCGCTGACCCCGCGCGGTACCAAGCTGGGTTTTCAGATCAGAGCTCTCTTCTGCCCAGGCGCCTGTCCTCAGCCCTCTCCCATTGTTTCCCTTCATTTTTCTCCCCCTCCTGGCCGCGATGCTGCTTATGCCCATGGCAGTTCTGTTTTGTACTTTATGTCAGCACTGTTTGGTTTTCCTCTTTCTTTCCTGTTTTTCTTTAAGTTACATAATCCTGGGAAGAAGTTCTAAGGAACCTACCAGGGCTGTTAAGCAAGAAAGCTCAGTAAACAGAACACAGCAGGTAAACACAGACTGTTCTCTGAAAACCAGAGCTCTGGCACTATCGTCTCTCCATACAGGAAT